ATCGATGTAAAACAGTAAGAAACAACGTTCTGAATTGTCTTAATTATTTTCTTGATCGATTATAACCAAACGCGGTGCCCATTTTATAAGTGGATGTTTTGTTAATAAATGTTCATGCAAGTTGGTAGATATACTGCCTATAATGTTTTCCATTCCTCTGTTATCTCAAGCAACTTTTACGACAATTTGAAAATCTTTTCTGGACAATTGTCGAATTTGGACCAACATTATCATCATCATGGTCCATAAGTTCAGCATAATAGCAAAGAAGCTAAGCATGGTCATTTCAGCTCAGAAAACAAAAACAATAGTCATCAGAAAAGAACCGGTCCTGGGTTTTCCCGTCGTGTTTATTTATATCTGGTGTATTAACAGATATAATTGGGATTACTCTTTTCTACATTCAAGGTCATTATATGCAAAGAGTGGTGCATAGATTTAACATAAGAGCAAAAGAATTTAATATGACAATCTCATCTCAGAAAACTAAAACAATAGTAATCAGCAAAGAACCAATTAATGTAAAATAGAAATTGATGGCATCAGTATTGAACAAGTAATGGAAATAAAATACCTTGGAAGTACACTGTCCAGCTATGGAGACCTAGACCAAGAAGTGAGAGATCAAGTACAAAAAGCAAATAGACTGGCAGGATGCCTTCATAACACTATATGGCGAAACAGTCACATTAACACTGAGATAAAGTCAAGAATTTATACAGGCAGTCTAAGACCAATACTGATATATGCAAACAGGACCCAACACAGCCACAACACAAAGGCTACTGGAAACGGGAGAGATTAGAGTACTGAGAAGAATTACAGGAAATACGCTGAGAGATCGAAAGAGAAGTGAAGACAGAAGAAAATGCAACGTACAGTGTCTAAATGAATGGACACAAAATAGAAAAAAAAGTAAATATCTCTCTCAATACCAAATAAACTGTAAAGGTTTAGAAATCAATAGAGATCCAAATAAGGTAGGTACTCTCCTTAACGACAAAATCGATATCAAAATAAATACATGTTCTGTAACGTCTTATAGAAACAACTATTCTTAGTTTAATATTTATTATTTTGTACTTCTACATGACTTGCTCAAATGTATCTGTTCAAGTGACAAGTCACAGACGTAACACGTAATTTCACAGGTGAACCAACACATGTTAAGGTTGGTTCACACTAAGCTGTTTATGTTACATGTTTTTGTTTGATTTTTTAAATAGTAAATGGTAACAAACAATCCATTTTTGTTGCTATGAAACATGTTTTTACAAGTACATAAATACAATAAACAATATTTAAAAATATAGTTTCAATTTATTGATTTTAAATTCAAGATGTTCTTGAAAATTAGTTAATTTACTCCTGTAGCCGTATTCTAGTCCTCGCAATGTACTTTTTTTAATTTACTAAATGAAAGGTATATTTCGCATGATAGGATGATAGTGATATGATAAGATGGAAAATGAGAAGGATGAGCGATGGGTTGATTATGTTAGTAAAATGCAATGAAATGTGCGTTAGAAAAATGTTAAAGCTCTGATAGTCAGTCAACCTTTTAATGAGTTAATTGTACGATTTTTTGATATAGTGAAACTGTACATAGTGCTTGTATTGTTCCCGACCGTAGTTTTAGTGATATGATATTTAATTTTTGTGGGCTTCTAGTTTGGTATCATTTAAAGTTCTTTGATTATTTCCATCGGTAGGTATCAAAACAACGAGAAAGTTGTAGATAAAGTACTATTGATAAAAAAAAATTAATTTATTTTCGTTGAATAAAAACTGCATAGATTCTGGTAACATATCCAGGAAGCTTGAGTCTTACAAGCCGATTTAGTGATTGAAGCTTGATGCTTTGGATATGACCAATTAAATCATAAATACTGTATATTTAGGACATATTATTAAACTACATTAATTGAATATTCAGTATAATCAAGCATAGATTCTTTGACTATAAAAACTGTGCGTTGCTGCTTGTATCTTATTTTGTACACTCCGAAATGTTCAAAAAACTGTAAAATCTACCAAACATTAGTTTTGCCCTAGTGGACATTAATTGTGAGCAATGTTTTTAGAAGAATCAGTACCATTTGCTTAACGTGTGATTGTAGTATTCTGGTTATTTGACAAATGTTGCAAAAGATATAGTGTATTAATCACAAGTGTTCTAGTGACGTATGCCTTTGTTACTAGATTTCAATTCGTAATTTATTATTTACTAATATACGTTTTAAAAGTTTCCAACACAATGAAAATAAAAATAGTTTTGTATAGAAAATATTCGTTATAAGAGTATGGTTATGCTTTTAGTACAAATTTTAGGTTATATTTTTCTTAAGTTGCCAGCACTTGTTTTTAACAAACTAAAAAGCCTTCTGAGAAAAATAAATGCTATTTTTGCACGTATTTATTTATGCAGAAGTAGGCAAATACTTAAACATATTTCCCCTCATCAAAGATTTAGTCTATAGGACTATAGGTCTATAGGAGGTCGGATAGTTCTACTTCTTTTTCTCAGTGGTATACTTGTGTATAGAAATTTTCAGAGGAACTTGTTGTAATGTCGGTTTATCTGTTTTTATGATTTCTAGAGGTTCCTCTAATTTTGTCTTACTTTCAGGAAGTTCCTTCTTGATATTAGCTAATGGCCAAAGACACTTCCTATTTCTTCTATACAGTGCTTTTCAGATAAAACTGTCCACCTTAAATAACTTTTGAACCTCTAATTTTTTGGAAAAACGCAAAAACACGTCAATTAATATCTGAAGGGGGACACATAATATCATATTAAAGGTTGCTGGAAAATGCACCCTCTGACCCCCTGTATCAACCCTTTATTTTTTTAAAATTACTTCCCCCTTTTTTTGTTTTATATTTGGATTCTCCTTTTTATTCTGATTTCAGAAATTTTTCCAAAAAATTAGAGGTTCAAAAGTTATTTAAGGTGGATAGTTTTATCTGAAAAGCACTGTATATACCTTGTGGACTTCATGTTATCTTCTAATAACATATTTTCGAATATATGGTGGTACGATGACTCTACTACCATACATTAAATTTTTTGCAGAGAAATCAAATGACCATGTTCCGAGTTTGAAAGATATTTTGAGCCTAGATGGCCAACCTGCTTGACATTATTTCAAAATTTCACAGCATACAGGATTCTCTCGTTATCCTTCAACAATTCCAACCAATCTATGATCTGTAGATGGAAAGTTTCTTCTTGCTGACTGCACATTTCATCAGAAATTTCCTCTTAATTATCACCTGGTATTGGTGATCTTAAAAGTGTATCAACAAGCATCAGTTACTTACCAGGAGTATATTTAACATCCTGAGTATTTCGCATAAGTCTTAGTTTCATTCTCTGTAGGCGTGGAGTAAGAGACATAAATCTTTTTTGCAAAAAATTATAACCAACGGCTTGTGTGATTTGTTTCAACTAAGATTGTTTTGAAAGTAATAAAGTTTGAGGACTTATCATATCCAAAACATATACCTAAACATCGTTTTTCAATTTCGACATAGCGTTTCTCAGGAGATGTTCTTGATGCATTTACCACTGGCTTGAACTCATCATCTTCCTGTTTCTGATGAAGATAAGCATTTAATTCATATGAGGAACTATCTACAGAGAGCAAGTTCCCTTTGCTAAAACTGATACACTAACAAGAATATCTTTGAGTATTTGGAAAGATTGAATTTTACTTGTATCCTACGTCCATTCAGCATCAGAGCGTAGCAATTCGTATAATGAATGGACAATATCACTTAAATTAGAAATGAATTTACTTAGAGAATAATTAACCATACCAAGTAGTCTTTTTAATTCAGTGATATTGACAGGTTTTGAAAATCCACGAGTGGCCTTTACTTTAACAGCCTAAATAAACATTTCCTGCTTTTAACAATTTGGTATATATACCTCACAGCCTTTTATCGTATTCCTCAGCAGTTCTTGCATGAAAAATGACATCATCAAAATGACAGATGATTTCTTCTAGACCTTCTAGTAATTGAGTAGTCTACAAAAAATCTCTGGTGCTGATGACAATCCAAAAGGCAATCTACGGAATCTATAGCAACCAAAAGGTGTTGTGAATGACATGCATTCTGGCGTTAAGGGTACTCGTTATTAGCATCTAACTTAGATATCACAGCAACCCCTTCTAATTGTACCAAGATCAAATCGACATCAGGACTTCGATAATTTTTCCTTTCACCATTTTAAATTTAGAGGTATGTGTAATCATGGATCACTTGATCATGATCAATACATTGCATTCGTATTACTTACCTATTGTTCTCGAATTCCAATTCAAAACAGCAGATTTATTTTCTATTTTATATTACTATCATACTTAAACCATGAATCTATCAAATTGCTCACATGAGAGTGAGTCCATCAGCACATTGAGCCATCAGGTCAACAAACATGTATTTTTAAAAATTGAACTTTAAAAATATAGTATTGGCACTGTATATCCTAAATAATAAATTATCCAAAACTGAAATCTTTGTTAACACAAAAAAACACAACTGTGGTAAGTCCCATGCCAAAGAGACTCATTAGTAATTCCATTCCAGAGGGCCCACATTCAAGACCTTTTAAATACCTCTGAGGTTTCCTCGATATACGTAATATTAGTTCGAACGCCCAAAGGCCACTTTACATGAATCTGATCCTTATTCAGTTGTAGCAGAAACACCCCTAATACGAACAACGCGTTAAACATTATGAATGCAAATACAGACTTGTTCCTCAGTTCGATTAAGTCTTTTGCAATCCTTTCCTGTAAAAAATCAATAGGTATTAGATATGGTGTTGGGTTGGGTCACATGGCTCCTTCTCGGTAACTTTGTTGGAAATTTTGTATAACATTTTTATATTTAATGTTTAGAAGAGTCTTTTAAATACTACTAATAAATGATCTATTATGTTAAAGCAAATAATGTACCAAAAAAGATGCCATGATTCCCATTTCAATTACCTCTTGTGTTGTTTCGTCGTAGGTTATGTTAGTGCGGACTCCAAAGGGCCATTTGATGTGTAGATAGTCTTTTTTCAAAGTCAGCAAAAATACTATTAACACAAAGAGGGCATTCATCATAAAGAAAGCAAAAACTGATTGGTCTCTCAATTCCTTCAGGTCAGCTGCTATACGGGCCTATAATTTTTTGCAAATTGTGGTGAGTATGATGTAGTTAATCATAAAATAAAGTGTAAATTATTGTATTCTAACATTCTAATAAAGTGGAAATATTATTTAAACGAAATTGTAACAAATACAGAATTTGCAACTCAAATATTGTGGTCAGTAGAAGAATATCCCACAGTGAAATATCTCGAAACATTAACTATAGAATGAAAATGATGTTACAGACGTTTAATAACATATTGAAAAGCAAAAAAACGCTTTTAACTTAAAAAAATTAAATCAATATCAGAATAGACAGAGCAAACTGAAAATATATCAAAAAAATGTGAATTAAAAGAAAATAGAAAATAAAACATGTCGACATAAATAAGTACTACCTACGATTATAAATAACATAGCAAAGAAAATAAATGGAAAAGTGGACACCACCTTGAAATAAATTTCAATATTACTCAAATTACTAATAATATACTGAAATTTTATTAAAAATATTCGTCTTATACCTTCTCCTCCTTATTTTCGTCAAGAGGATACAGATACTTCTCCAACAAGTCTTTCCAGAACTGCAACTCATTACTGCTCAAATATTCTACTTCTCCTTTCAGCACGTCTGGATCTTCTATCCAATAAGGGTTCAGTAAGTCGTCTCTTTTATTTTTAGGCGTAAGAGATGCGGTGTCATCGTCTGACTCGTCCGTGGACTCTTCTTCCTCTTCATTAACTGGTTTAAGGTGGTCTCCATGACGAGATGAAGATGACATACTCCTTCGTCTTGCGTGATGACCCGAAGGATCGACAACTCTAAAGAATTAAATATTTTAATAAGAATATTTGGAATATGAAACTTTATATTCTTGGATATTAACATAGGTTAAAAACCAAATTTTCACTTACCTTTCAATATGGTCTAGTCTTTTTCCTAATGAATCCAGTGAGTCGGCAATATGTATGAGTTGAGCTTTTTCATCTCCTGCTTTCTGATGTGTACATAAAAGACACCTGAAAAGTCCGGCAAACGATATTTCGATACTGCCTTCATCGTCATCGTTGGTACCTCCGTTTTGTAAAAATCCCAATAAAGACTTCTGCTTGGCGTGCTTTTTAGCTTCTTCTGCAGCTTTTCTTTCTTCTTCCAATTCCTATAGCATTAATATTATTTTAAACTGATTTTATAACTAGAAAATGACAATGCCATTCTCTACAAGACTTACCTTCTTTGTCTTTTTCACCGGTACTTCACGTGTCCCCCAGGAAACATTGTTCAGATTTATGATAGAATAAAGAATAAGCAGCAAGTACATAGATGGAATGGACAACAGATAGATTATTCCCGGAACTATACACCAAAATTCTTGAGGATGAAGGAACGCAGCTATCATGAACGATCCCGTCATCGCAATCAAGAAAATGGCCGACGGGGAGCCTATACCGTCCTCCCTTAATTGCAGAGCAGTACCTACTATCACAGCCATCATGATCAAAGCGTATCCGGTGGAGAGTATTTGGGCAACTATCAGCTAAAAAACAGGTGGAATTAAGATATTTGCATACCAAAAATTTATATATTAAAATGTCTTTCAGTGATGCTATTTTTTAGTAAGACCTTAACCAATTATTGATACGTACCTGTATATTAGATTTGCACGTGAAACAGATAAACATGAAGAATAATATGGGCCAAATATTGTAATAAAAGCTAGTCCAATTGTCAATCTGGAAAGCAGCCACGAAGGCACCCACCAACATAAGAAATATAGTACCAGGACCTAAGATGGTACCACCCATAAGAAGAATCTGATATCCAATATAAGGCATAGATATGTTATCGTTCACTTCGATAGTCTTTTTCGAGTCCATAAGTAAATCCATGATATTGGCGATAGTAGAGGGAACCCATCGACGTCGTTGATTGAAAAATTCGTTAAAACCTTCAGGAGCATGAGTGTAAGCGTCAGAGGCAGCTGAATATTCTACTCTGTAGCCTCTTTGGAGGAGGAGAGTACACAGCCATCGATCTTCTCCTTGATCGTATTGTACGTAGTGCCTAGCTTCAGCAGAACTGCAAATAAAATATTAATTAGTGGGCATGAATCAAATTAAAGAGCGTAACAAATATACTACATCATTTATAAAAAAGCAATGACGATACAACACGGAACTAAATCAATACCGTATTTTTCGGTTACCTAATACGAATTAATACTTGGTATGATTGAATAAAAAAAATAAATGACATAGTTAGAAATGCCAGAAAAGCTTACACGACTAGTAAAAATGATGCTTAGGAACACAAGAAATAGCGTAATGATGAAAGCAAACTTTTCAATGCAGTTCAAAATAAAAGGAGGTTTAAAGCAGTGAAGAGGGGGATCACAAAGGTAAGAACACTAAATTTAATACTGACAGCAAAAAAATTGGATAGCTGGTAAAAAACTCACATTAAAAAAAAAACCCAAATTTTCCGGCCAGTGAAAACTATGTAGTTATTCATATTTCGAAGAGCTATCCCAGAATAAAAAAGAGACTTCCAGCTGCAATGGAAGTCGAGATAATGTAAATTTTTACTTCGTCTTTCAATTTGAAGTTCCGATCTCGAAAAAAAAAAACGGAGCTGAAACAGTTATCTCCTCCACTTTTCTACGTCGATCTTTCGAAAGTACCTTCGTTTCGAAGGACTGTAAGTTTCAAAAAATTGGATGAATTTTATAGCTATAAGTTTCAATATAAAGTATATATTTTCATCCAAAATTTTTGCAAATTTTACTTCATCATGTTTATAAACAATGGGGATATGATTTTAAAAAAAAAGTCTTTAACTTCGTTCCTATCGGCCATAGAAGGATTTTTTTAAACATTTATTTTGTAAATAATTTCGATGACAACGCAATATGCATTTAACTTCTGAGATAGTTTAAGTCTCATGTCTTAGAAGCGTCAGATATCTGCGAACAATTTTGCCGATGATTTTTACATAACCAGACTGAGCTAATTTGCAATATGCAAGTTTGTTGGAACTTGCACAACTTTTCGCCTGATCAACTGCTTGAACTTTATTTTGGGGTATCTCATGAAAGTGATTATGCAAAAATATCTCATAGGAATATTTTTCCGAATGAACCCGACCTTGTTTATTCGTAAAATGTTCATTTGTCATTTAATTATTAAATGATGAATCACTAACTGTAAATATGCTATTTATAATTACTTAACGGTAAAACTGTTTTTTAGTAGTTACTAATGGGTATATTTACCACATAGTTAAGAAAAGATCTAAAAGGTGACACAATATTCCTGCTCGTATTGTAAATTGAACGTATTAGGCCAGACTTGAGATTACATTGAACGTCTTAGGCCAGGCTTGAGATTAAAATGTCGTTTTAACGTCACACGAAGTAATTATATGCCAGTGTCGTCTAAATAATCATATTGCTGGTTTTTCTGCATTCGGTTTTGTTGGTTAATATCCACTAGGAGACTTAGTTCCTGTAGCTGGCTGTATAGCATATATCACAAAATTTTTTATTTCAAATCCTTTATAAAAGGATTATAGGCTATAAAAGGATGTAATCACAATTACATTACAGAACGTTTTCGGAATATTAATTCCATCATCAGTGTAAACGGGGTATACATGCAATGAGCCACCAAAATATATGGGTCAAAATCCGTTAAATGTTATAAATTTATAGTTGTTTTACATTATATATAATTACAAATTAGGATATTTAAGTTACCGTTGGAATTGGTAACATGGCGACGTATTACGAGTAATACGAGCAATACATAATATTTACAAGAAAGCTACAATGAAAATACAAATAGATGTGAAAATCTCTATGTCTAGAGATCCTAATCTTTTAATTTTTATTTTGAGAAGGATTTCCGAGGTGAAAATCGAAATGTAAAAATAATAGTATTTTCAATCAAAATTGTGGTCGTTATTTCCCATTAAAAATAGCATATAACATAAAAATGCCACGACAAAATAGTTTTAGGATCCTAATATAATTTTTTCACCATTAATAGGTTTTTCAATATTATTAATGGTTTTCCACTACTAGGAAAATACTTATTTTCGAAAATGTTTCGAAATTTCCACACAAAACATATTAAGAGCATTATAATATGGACTTACCAGGTGGTATATTTCTTCATAACATTATCATCCATAAGAGCTTTTCCTCTGAAGAGGGAGAAACATCCGGGACTACAGAGTACACAGCCGATAACGTGTTCAGTGGCTTTTTGCAGCCAATGACCAATGGCATATTCGAAGAGCTGGTACCATACCATCGGACCGGATCCTACTGGATGAATACGACCACATGCTGCACCTGAAAATAATAACACATAGTAAGTTTCAGTTACATTCTTATATCTAGTTAATTCAGTTCATATATTACTTTTCACCATAACAGTGATCGCTCCGTGCGTAACCATGGTAGGGGTACCTTGAAACGATGCCAGCGTGCGTTGCGGTGAAATATGACAAAATTGTACCTATCTTTTTACGCATAAATTTTATCAAAACCGGGTGCAAATACATTTTGCGTATTTAATTGTGATAATAATAGCAAAAATATTAAGTGTAGTTTTTTTAGGTTTCCAAAGATTATATATAAATTAGTGAAAAGAAAATGATGGATTCGTGCTATAAATATGAAAAAGTAAATATCACATCATTTCATTTTTATGCAATTGAAATAGGAAAAATTTAAATAATTTAGGTATCTTAAATGATATTTTATAAGGCTTCAAGCTAACTGCTGCCTGCCTGATGACTTTAGCTTTTATATCATAACTTTTACTATTATTGTTTTAATACTATGTATATAGTTATAACTCAGTTTTTAATACTACATTTTATTTTGTACATAAACTGAAAAAATATAATTAAAAAACTAATTATTAATTGTCATTTTCGTATGTATTTAACATCTGTTTAACATCAAATTGGGAGGTCCAAAACTGTCAGATGAAGGTGGTAGGTGTCGCGTCAGTCACGCACGGAGCGAATATGAGTCTAAAACACGTGAAACTTAATTCGAAAAGAATTAACAAAACAGGAATATTAACACCTCGTCTATATATATTTCAAGCTTTTGATATCATCCGCCACGATTTGCAGACAAAGATGAGATGACAAATAGCTTCATTCGTATCTCGGTCGTTGATACACATAACCTTTCAGCTGGTATCTAAGTAATGAAGTCTGCATTAATCAAATAAGAACATATAAGACTTTATTTCCATTACTTTTGTTTGCACGTTCTCAGACAAAGTTTTGTTTGATAAAACATACTCAACTTTAATTTTATTTTGAAAAACTACTTTCAAAAAATATTCACTAATATCTTAACATACAAGAATTGATATTTTAATTTTCAGGACGCAGAGGAACATTCCTATGCGCGAATTTCCAACACATTAGGGCAGCTTCGGCAAAACCTACTGTTAGTATTAGAAGGTTCTCTTTAATATGCACCGTTTTTATTTTACAGTTAATTTAACACTATTTTAATTCATTTAGACTAACACTAAAACACAATTATTTATTACATGATATATCTATTACTTGACAATATAAATTTATATTTTAGACTAACTCTTACAATCAAAATTTCCCTATATATATTTTGTGAACTGTTATCTGGAATTCTCTTAACAGATCGTCCACTCGTTTGTTAAGTTAGAGTGACGCTACAATGAACACCTGCTTCTAGAAAGTCGTGGCGTCAGCATCGTAACAATCTCGAAGCGTCGGTGAACACCTGCTTTTACGTTTACCTTATAGAGAGTCATAGGCAATAGGCTGGTATAAGAGATACAAAGGACCTAGATATGACAGTGCAAAATAAAATGTCTATTGGGTATTGGGAGAAAACTTTTATATACCAGATTTGCCCAAGTTCCCAGAAAGATGTACAATAAACCAAAAATTCCAGCCATTCTGTTGGTATTTCTCCAGAGTTGTATATGTTGTTGAATAATCGTATGTACATTAGGTTGAGTAGTTCTGCTTGTGTATTATCAGGGCCTGTCGCTTTGCCATCCTTTAACTGTGTTATTCCGGAATTGGACTCCCTTTTTTTGTTTCAAGGTCTTTCAGCATACGTAGTTCGTATGATAGTGCTTTTCTTTCCTAGTCGTATGAATGACTGAAATCTGAGTTTATTGCACTTCCAAAAATAACCAGGAGCCAAAAACATCTTGGTTAAAGAACCTCAGAACCTGGTTCAATACAACAGCTCTGCAGCAACATTCGTAACGGATAGGCACATCAAGAAGAAGAAGCCAAAATGGCTACAGTATAGCCGGTTTAGAACAGGCGGCTTTTAGGAAATATTAGAAAAAAGGGAGTTTAATGCATCACACTTATCAAAGAATGCTAAACCGTTGAAAATAACCTTACATTGTTATTATTTTTAAATTTTCCTACACTCCCTACTATTCAGAGAAATGGAAAATACTTTAAAATGGTTATCCAATACATTTGAACAACTGAAAATTTATAATAAAAGTTATACCAAAAATCTACGTTGTACTCTATTTCTCTTACCTAGATTTCTATTCTTCTTCATTAAATCGATTAAAAGTAACACAGCCGAAGGTTGGAAGTCAATGTCTCCATCCAAAGTCAATAAATACGTATTTTCAGCTATCGTTGCTTTTCTATCTACGGAGATTGGCAATTCCATAAGCCTGTGCCCAAGGAGGTAGTACATGTACATCACCTGAAATAAATTTAGTGTAATAATAGTTTGGAGATTAGATAAAGGTATCACTTTAGCAGAATATAAAGGAAACATTATGTGAACGTTTACTTAAGAAAAAACTAGAGCTATTACAACTAATAATGAAATTTAGACTTAAACTTTATATTTCTATTATCCCTAAAAGATAATTTTTCGTTGTCAAATCACAAAAAGTAAACTTCATCCTTATCACCATGATCATCCCTTATAGCTGAATAATATATCCAGCAATAGAAATGGTTTCCGCACATTAAAAGAAATGTGGTTTCTAAAACTCAGAAGAAACCAACACATCCGCACCATCACCACAATGATCCGCGCCATCCTATATTTGACCAAAGAAGGAATTGAAAGCTCGTAGAAGTTTCATGAGTCACACGGCTTTAACTCTTTCAACGAAGGAAACTTTGAATTCAAGAGAAGAACTGGCAGCAGTTACCAATTACCTTACATCGTATGGACATCCCCAAATAGGCTAGTAACTAGCACGTCAGGATAAAAGACAAATTTAAATATGAGGCATTTAAAACAGAGGCAGAAGCATTCAGAGGATAACAGATGTGATTGTGACAAATTAGAGAATCTTTGGCTCATATTGATTTTTACATATATATATATATATATATATATATATATATATATATATATATATATATATACAATAGCACTAAAGGCCTTAGAGGCCCATGGCTTAAAGAATTTTGTTCTTTCTTCATTTTCGCTTTCCTTTATGTACTGAGATCTTCGCTGGCTCGATATGTGACTTTTCTCCATTCCTTCTTGTTATTCATTTTTCTTTTCTGGCCGTCTAGTCCAATTTCTTCCATATCTTTTTCTACCTCCTGATTCCATCTATTTTTTGGCCTTCCTTTTCTCTTTTTTGAAGTTATATTGTAGTTTAGTACCCTTTTTGGAGTCCTCGTGTTTGGCATCCTTTCTAGGTGACCTCGCCATCTTAGTCTCTGTGCCTTTATGACTCCTATTATGTTAGGTTGATTATATAATTTCTTTAATTCATCATTTGATCTTCTTATCCATAAACCGTCCCTTATTATTCCTCCATATATCTTCCTCAAGATTTTCCTTTCCCATATCTCCAGTAGATTTTGTTCATTTTTTGTCATTGTCCAGGTCTCACTGCAGTATGTTGCTATTGGTTGTATAGTTGTTTTGTATAACTGTATTTTTGCCTTTCTTGATAAAAACTTGCTTTTCAACATTCCACTAAGAGCATGTACACTTCTATTGGCTGCCATTATTTTAGCTTGTATTTCTTCTTTAATGTTAGGTTTACGTGATATTATTGTACCTAGGTATGTAAATCTTTCCACTATTTCGAATTCGTATGATAATCTTTCTTCTACTTCTACTTTAAACTTTTGTCCATCCCTAAACTGATCATCTGTCCACTGCATACATTTTGTTTTAGTTTCATTTATGTAAAGTCCCATTTTCTTTGCTGCTTTTACTATTCTCTGTACTATCTCCTGTAGCTCTTTTTTTCCTCTTGCCAGCAACACTATATCATCCGCAAATGCCAAAACTTGGTGTCTTTTATGATATAGGAGTCCTTCTCTATTAATTCTCGCTTCTCGCATTATTTTTTCTAGGCATAAATTGAAGAGTAATGATGACAAAGGATCGCCCTGCCTTAATCCTTCTTTTACTATAAATTTGTCCGATGCATGATTGTTAACTTTGACTCTGTTTTCTGTATTCTCTAAAGTAAGATGTATCATGTTACGCAACTTTCTGCTAACTCCCAGTTCCTCAAGGGTCTCTTTTAATTTCTTCCTTTTTATTCTGTCGTATGCTTGCTGGAAGTCGATGAATAGCGCTATCGTTGGTAAGTTGTGTTCATAGCTTTCTGCTTGTAACTCTCTTATTATGAATACTTAAATGATTTTTACATACTTAAGATAATAATGCACTCTCCTTGACTTAATAGTAGCCAATGAAAAGGCCACCCAAATGGCAAAGTATTGGCAGTAAGTTGATTGTACGAATACTACTTCTTAAAATATTATGTAAATATCCGCATTCATCATTACAGATTTCGTTTATACATATACTGGCTGTCCCGTATCACAAATATTATTAATTTTTACAAATGCTAAAAAGTGGTATTTTATCTTTAAATTGCCTTACCTGTGACCATCTCTTCCTGTGTCTAATCTTCAAATTATTCTTTAAATGTGCTATCATCTTGGTTTTGCCTGGCAGGGACCAAACCAGTCTACCTCCGTAAGGAGTCGGAATTTTCTTGGGTGGTCTGATACGAATATGAGTTTGATGTACATCAGAAGCTGCTTCATCTATTGTGTTAATCAAAAGCTTCACGAATCGGTTCACTTGCGTATCGTCATCGTTGTGATCGGAGATTTCGAAAGAGTCGTCGAAGAAAATGTGAGCTGAAATAAGTTTGATAGTCAGTTTAACAATTTTTACTCATTAGAGTATGTTATAACATTTAAATTTTATATGATAATAATAGAGCTACAATAAAAATTTATAGATAAATAAAAATAGATAAGAAAAGGAACTGCGCAATCGATAATGAAAACACCATTTTCTAAGATACAGTGTTTTTTCCTAAGAAAAAATGAAGCTTTAGTTATATTCATATATACCCCTTCGAGAGCCGTGATCCTTGTTGTGGTGAAGGGCGTATTCATTCTTGGCAGGTCGCTAATTCTGTAAAGACTGAATGAAAGATAAGGTCCCTTAACTTCAGATACCATGTGATACTCACATTTCGTTAGCCTTCTTCCAATGCCCGATGCACTGCCGGAAAAAAAAACCATCGATTCCCTAACTTCTTATTATCTTTTTATGTAGACATGACTCTGGCTTTTTTTCAATGTGCCTCCAGTAAGTTGTTCCATCGTTTTCGTGGTCTTTCCACTGATTGTCTTCCTATTGGGGAACCATTTCTTGCCGTGTTTACTACTCTATTTGTTGTCATTCGGCTTATATGATCGTTCTATTCTACTCTTCTATTTCTTACTCAGTTGTTGATGTTCTTAACCTTGCATCTACATCTTATACCTGTACTTATAGTTCTGCTAGTGTTATAATTTCATTCAGTTTATTTGTTATCACTTTGGTTGTTAACTTTAATGTTGGCTTTAATAAATTAATTCCTTTGTAATTTTCCAGGTCTGATTTGTCTCCCTTTTGGAGATAGTTAGTAGTTGTTTGGTCAGATCTGATCCTCTGTACTTTAGGAGTTCGTTTGCTATTCTGTCCTCTTCTGGTGAATTTCTATTTTTTAATTTCCTTGACACTTCCTTTTCCTCATTCTCCTCAATATTTATTTCTTCGTTTGTCGTCACCTCTGGTGATAGTGGTGGTCGTTTTTTTTTTAGTTCGTTTATCTCTTTTCTTTATCCTCTCATAATTGTCCATATTGCTTTTTGTGTTCCGTAGAAGTAGTGTTCCATCTGTTTTGAGAAGATCTGCCAGTGTTCCTTTTTTATTTGTCTAACTAAAGTATTCGTTTTATTTCTGATTCGTTTATATTGGATGTATGCCTGTAGTGTTTGTTGTGTTCTGTATTGCAAAAACTTCTTTTCTTCACATTTTGTCTTCACTTTCACTTTAAACCATGGTGTTTTTTTTATATGTTAGTGTTCGTTACTTTCCTCTCTCCAAGTGACACTGTTGCTGCGGTTATTATATTCTTTTTAAGATTTTTCGAGCTTTTTATAGGGTCAAAATGAACCAAGAACAAACTAACAAAAAGTTACTTCATCTACATCTCAGCAAGAAGCGATAAGGTTCAGCAAAAGCACATGAGTGACGCAGCGAGGAAAAGGTTTATGTATTTTTAGAAACAAGACCTTCACCCAAAAGAGACTCATCGACAGCTGTTGAAGCATATTCGAAGGTTGCAGTATGAATAGGTCTACAAGGACTTCTTTATTTAAAATTAGTATTAAAGATAGGATATATAAAGATAGATATATTTGGGCGGAGAATAAAAAAACAGAGATAGTGCAGTTAAATAACAGAGCAGAACAAAAAACTGCTTTATTCTAAGCTTTAAAATATTACAATGAATACTCTTATTACTTAATTAATACTTGGACTGACTAATCTACTGCGAATATAAAAGATCAATTAAAAGCAAACAGATAACAATAAAAAGAAGATGAAAAATGCTGTCCTTAAAAAATTTAGGGTATTATTTTTTTATACTTACTTTCAAATTCATAATAATCTGGATCAACAACTCTCAGATACTTTTGAGCAACTCTTCTGGCGGATTGGTCTTCGTCAAGCCTCAAGATCGACTTTAAAAACTCCATCATTTCGTCTTTGGTCTCATGCCACATAGTAGCACATGCGTAAATCCTGGTGATATTATCGGAACTTTTAATATGTTTCGGCGAGGATCCGTCAGTATGGTTAGAAATCGTTTCATAGTATTCATCAGCTTTTTCTTTTTGAATTTCGTCAAGATCTTCTGGCTTAACATCGGATTCGTCATCTCTGCGTCTGTTTAAACCCAAACACTTATCAATCAGGAACGCTGAAATATCAAATACAATTAATTATTAACACAAAAATCAAATTTGCTACAAGCAGGTCCTTACCGTCATACATTGGAATAACTTGTAACTTTTCAGTTCTTGCCAAACGTTCGCATTTTGGAGTCCATATATGTATAGTAATCCATGTCTGAGACAACAACCATAGTAACCAAATCCAAGCATGTTGATGTGAAATAAAATCGTTTAGAAAAGCAGGTGGTGGTAATTCAAAGAACAAATAATCGGGAATAGTGTCATGGAAAAAGCAAGGATCTCCATTTCTCAAACCACAAGCTGTTATCAATAGAGAAATCGAGACTGGAATGGTAAGATTAACAGGAAAAGCATAGGAAAATCCTTGGATCATAATTTTGCAGGCAAATTTACCGAAAATATAAGCTAAGTATGCTGCAAATACGTTCATTAAGAGAATATAGACAGGAGTCTTATCGCTGGATTGAATAACGACATCGTCTCCTGTTGGTATGATTTCCGAAATATCTGGAAGAGATGTGCCTCCCAAAAATGGTTTAATCTGCAAAAGAAAATTATTGATAATTTAAAAACGTCATAAAATATCTAAAATTTTGTGAAATAAGAATTTGGTCCACAAAAACTATAAAATATTTCAAACATTTTTATTAAAATTTTTTTATAAAAGGTATAATATTCAAAACAACCCTTATGGGCTACACCACAGAATGTTTTCAGTCAATCTTCAGTGCTGCTACTAGTTATACATGAATTACTATTTAAATGGGAATAAGCCACAATTAAAGGTTAAAGTACGTTTATTGGCGTTTCAATTTCCACTTCGGAAATAGTTCTTTCCAAACGATTTCCGAAGTGAAAATTAACTACAATAGGTAACTCAAACTAACCTTTAAAAACTAAGTAACCAACTTAAATTAAAATTACTAAGAATAAATGCAAACGAAAGTTAAAGATAATAAAATAAAATTAAAAACTTGTAAACAAGTTTTGTAAACCTGTTTACAAGTCTATAAACAAACGGAAGATCTGTCATTATTTTTGACAGAATTGAATTGAATTAAATTAAATTTGATTATTTTATTGACACCTCGAGACTGTGTTAAAATAAATGATTGGTTAAAGTCTTCGTGAGACAGATAGGCTGTCATTTCTCTTTATTAACTCGCTGGGGTTAAAGTGATGGGGGAATGAACCAAGGTCATCATATAAGATACCAGACCATGATTAGTGATGACAAAAAAATTGACATAATTTTAGAAATGGTAATGAACCATACTTCTTCTACAGCCCAAGTTGCATCTATCTATGAAATCACATCAAAAGACAGTGCACTGAGTGTTGGCTGAAAACAAATTTCATCCATACAAATTAAAAATTGTGCACCAACTTTCACATGATGACTCCGACCGAAGACTAGATTTGTGTGAAAATATGTCCAATAAAATTAACCAACAGCCCGATTACATAAAAGTAATTTGTTTTAGTGACGAAAGTACTTTTTCTCTCAATGGAAACGTTAACACACACAATGTGAGACATTGTAGTGACACAAATCCTCACGTCTTTCGTGAAACACATACTCAATTTCCAAAAAAAATTAATGTTTGGGTAGGTATTTTAGGAAACCACATAGTTGAACCTGTTTTTCTCAATTGTAACTTAACCGGTGAAGTGTATCTAGAGATGTTACAAAATGCAATTGAACCGTTAATACCTAAAATTATTAAGGATAATCCAGATGAATTCGCAAACTTGGAACTAACTTTTTAACAAGATGGTGCTCCTGCACACCATTATGGTGCAGTAAGACGTTACCTACATGAGGAATATCGTGGGAGATGGATTGGACGACAAGGTACGATAGAATAACCAGCTCGGTCACCGGACCTCACACCGTTAGTTTTTTTTCTGAGGGTTTACTTGAAATCTAAAGTTTGCGCTACAGCACCCGACAATATTGACATTTTGAAACAAGAAATTGTTGAAGAATGTAGTTCAATCTACTCCGACACATATGAACACTTACTATAAGAACTGGTTGTTAAATATTTATTAATTAAATGGGAAGCTCCAATTTTAGGATTTATTTAATTTATTTATCAAAATGAGCTTAAGCTCAAACAAAATTATTATGACTGAATAGGTATTTTCAATACCTGTCAAACGAGGTATCACTTGCCATAAGGTCCTATTTAAAATTATTTGTCACAGTGGCGCTGTAATGTCATGTATCACTATTACGCCATTTGCTATGACTAGTTAAGAATTCTACGTCTGTTTATTACCTCCCTCCCAACTTCACTATTATAACAATAACAGTTCAAAAGATACGAGAGGAAACGGATTTTTGATTAGCAGTGTATAGATAAAAAATCGGGGGATTATCATGAAGACATAAACTCTAACTAATTCAATAACATTTTCCAGAGTGTTAATAGTGGCTCTGTCATAGTTTTGGATAATTCATCTTACCATTGACGCCTTGTTGAGCGCATTCCAGCGATGACTGATCAAAAAATCGAAATTTCAAAGGCTAATCTAGTTTTTTTTTGTGTATCAAATTTAATATATTATTTTAAAATTCGTTTATATTCTTACCTCTAAAATTGTAATTGGATGTGATCCCCATCCTTCCGAAAATTCCGTAAAGAAGAATCCAACTTCCCCTTCTCTCGCCAAGATGACGAACAAAATGGTAATCAAGAAACATATGATCTTCCAAATGGATATAAACATATAGTTGAAGTATCTCGTTTGATCGAATTGCTCTCTCAGTCTACCCAATTTTTTGATAAAAGGAATTGGGGTATATTTGGATATATAGTTTTCCCACCAACCAAGAGAAATTAAAAATAGTGTGACTGGGATAATCCATAAATCCGGTCTTCCTTCCATGATTGGCCACACGATGAAACCTGTCACTTGGGCAGCTATCGCGATGAGATCTATGAGTACTTTTATGAATCGTTGAGATTCTTTGTTATTTCTAGAAAGTAAACCTGAAAGAAGAACAAATATTGTAAAATTATAAGATTCTACAAACATATTTTTTATGAAAATACGATATTCTAGAAGTTAAAGGTAAACTCGGGCTACTTTGGCCCATTTATTAAAACCTTTTAAATCAAGTCTCAATAAATCTTAGCATTTTTCTACTACTAAGCTATGTTCTCCTGTTTTACATAATTAAACTATCTTAAATAACATGCATAAAGCATTTTAGTGTTTTTTAAAAAAATAAATAACTTTTTTAAATTGTTCATCTGGGCCAATGTTATCCTTATGTTAGGGTTACTTTGGCCCAATATTATATTACCTACTTTCAAGCATTATATAAATAGTTAGGGCCAAAGAAAGACATGGGTTTATTTATTCAGTATATTTATATGACAGAAAAATATATTTCAAATTATGTTTTTTTTAAAAAGGTACAAAAATAAAGCTTTAGCAAACAATTATTATTTTTTACAAATTACTGACGGAAAATAGTGCTCTTTTTAAATGTTTTGGAGGTTGGATTTTTTTCTTAATAGCGCTCCATTTGTAAAACAAAGAGTCCTTTTCTTTTGGCCACTTCCAACACTTGTTGGTACGTTCCATGCATTCAACAACAGCACCTTCTTCTGACACATTAACAGCTATCCCAGGGAACTGTAGCTTATTCCATTCAACAACAACGAAGTTTCCTGTTTGCAGATTTGACTTTAATTCTTCTTCTTCGTTTTGTTCCGGGGGTTTTATGTCACTGAAAGAAGATGCAACTGGATCGACATTTGGGTGATTTTCCTGGAGAACACTGACTGTGTTAATTTCCTCTTCTTCGTCCGTTGAAAGAATCATGTCACCATAACCGGATGAAACGACGCTGTAATGGTCACTATCTTCTTCCGAATTCGAAAGTTCCATGTCTTTTTTGTTTATTTTTCTCTTTTGTTTCTTAACTTCTTGTTTCTTTTCTAAAACCGCCTGTCGCTTTTTTTCTAGTTTTTCCCTTTCTCTTTCTTCGTTTTTCTTCCCGTTTTCCATCTTCTTTTCTTTTTTCTTTTGACCTTTTTTATTCATTTGGTGTTGTTGATACTGAATAATATCGTTAGCTTTTACCAGCAGGAATGTCTATTTTTTTTTCGTTTTATTAATCGAGGTTTAACAACTTCTTGCCTTTTCTGTTCCAAATGGCGGATAAATGTTTTTCCTACCAATTCCAAATTAACTGTCACATTGTTAGAAGGCAAGCGCTTCAATACTTCTTCTTTGTCTAAGGGATGTATGCCGGCCTTTTTAAAACCAGACTTTAAGTTTTCTTTTTGATGAAGCTCTAAGTCATCCAAAGATTTTTTCAACAATCTTGGAAAAATATCTTTTGGTAATGTAGCAACAGTTTTGCCACTATCAGACTGTTTCCATTCGGTAAGAATCTGTCGCCACTTACTTTTGAGAGGCCTAAAATAGGCCACATCAAGTGGTTGTGTTAGGTGTGAGGAGTTTGGAGGCAAGCATACGAATTGGATATTGTTCTCTTCACAAAGCCTGACCACGTTTAAGCTTACATGTGAGCTAAGATTATCACCGATAACTACTTTTTTACTTTCTTGTTTTTTTTAAGATTGGAAGAAGATGTGTAGCAAACCAATCTTCAAATGTTGCTCCATCGATCCAACCTTGTTTTGTTATAATGCGCTCCTTCGGGACCACCCCCCATTCATGTGGTCCACAAATGTTCAGCCTTATAAATAATATAAGGTGGCACAGAGGTACCATTGGCATTACCACAAAACATAACGCAACAGTTTTGCCACTATACTGTTTCCATTCGGTAAGAATCTGTCGCCACTTACTTTTGAGAGGCCTAAAATAGGCCACATCAAGTGATTGTGTTTGGTGTGAGGAGTTTGGACGCAAGCATACGAATTGGATATTGTTCTCTTCACAAAGCCTGACCACGTTTAAGCTTACATGTGAGCTAAGATTATCACCGATGATTACTTTTTTACCTTCTTGTTTTTTTAAGATTGGAAGAAGATGTGTAGCAAACCAATCTTCAAATGTTGCTCCATCGATCCAAGCTTGTTTTGTCCTGTTATAATGCGCTCCTTCGGGGCCACCTTCCAACCATGTGGTCCACAAATGTTCAGCCTTATAAATAATATAAGGTGGCACAGAGGTACCATTGGCATTACCACAAAACATAACGCTAATGTTGGACTTAGTCGAATTCATGATACGCTCTGGGTACTTTGAACCCCTACGACAGATTACTTTCTTCCTGCCTGGATCGTCAGACATACATGTTTCGTCATAGTTATAAATGTTCTGAGGCGGTACATTCTCAACTACTTCTTTTAAGTGATCGAAGTAGTCTGAGATTATTTTTCTATCAATCTGAGCACGATTTCTTGTTATATTTGATGCAAACCTGACGGTGACCCCGGTGAGCTCGAAAAAAGATTTTTTAGTTTGTTTTTAATAGTGCTTCGTGGTATTTTAAAAATATCTGCGGCTTGCCTTTGTGTCATTTCACCAAATCTGATTGCTTCTAAACAGGTTTGGAGATGATCTTGACTGTAGTCGGCATAACTTCGGCTTCCTGGTTGGCGTTTGTAGTTATAGGGCATCTTGCGTAATCTAAAAATAAATTTATTCAATACAAGAACACCCAGAATGTTGATTTATAACAGTAGGTAGGTAATAATTAAAAATAAATAAATAAAATAAACGTCAGAACTACTTTGGCCCAAATATACGTTGGGCCAAAGAAGGTCATATTTTTGAGGTTATCTGAACTGGTTTTATTATTAAATTTTAAAATAAAAAAAGCGAAAATAATGCAAATTATAGCCATTCCACTGCATTACGTATTAAATTCTGATGTTAAAAAAGTACTTACCAATATTATAACAGGCCTAAAACGGTTTTTGCAGGTAAAAGTTTGAGACTTTATAAAAATCACTTGTTGCACATACAACATCATAAGCACTCATGCTGGTTTCTTGGAGGCGAAACGTGAAACATTTGAAGGTCGTTACGAGTTGCGCAGGTCTGCACTTCATCGGAAACTACCGACATCGGCTTAAAATCTACTCTCTCGAGATACTTTAAAAACGTTTTATTTTATTTTTAATTTGGGCCAAAGTAGGACCCCAGGGCCAAAGTAACCCTTATTTAGGTAACGAAATAGAAACGGATGATAGGTTTCCTTAGAAGCCTAGATCTTTTGGATATAGATGTAAATATATACAAAAGATCATTCAGATCACAGTGTAAAACCAAAGAATATATAAGCGTCTATATTCTTTGGTAAAACGGTGTACGGGGCCAATTGACCCCGTTAAATTCTACAATTTATAGTACCTGTAGAAAATATACAAGATTTACGATTTTGCCAACCCTTATGATATGTGCAAGAAATAACAAATATTTTATGTATAATGAATTTTTAGTTATTGATTAGTACTTATAATTATCTTTCTCCCTTTCTCGCTATGTAGCTTCATCCTTCGTGGATCTTAACTGCCCGTACAAATTGCCCCCATCTACTTCGATCCATCATTCCTTCTCTCCAATCTTATATTCCTATGAGATTTAAATCTTTTAAGATATTATTCCTACATCGAAGTCTGGGTTTGGCTAAGGCTTCTGGCTGACTGAGTTCTCCGCCATATTTATTTGATGAGCCGATCGTCCTGGACCGTATATAAGGCCTGCACACCTCAGCTCCTGGGCTTTTATAGCATTGGTTTTATTTGGATAACCTTATATGCTTACCAATTCTTCATTTGTTCTAATTAGATATTGGACAGTTGTGCTATTCATTACAGGACCAATATTTTCTTAATATTTTGCTGTTCAAAAGTTAGTTTTGTTTCGTGATGGTCCAGGATTTTGAGGCGTATGTTATGACTGGCCTAATCACTGTATGTGTCCATAATCATTTTATCTTCTCTTAATTGATGTTTATCTTTACTTTCTTTGCTTTATTTTCTATTTTCAGAAACATTTTATTTATTTTTTTGTATTACTGCTTACAGTGTCTGTGTAGTCAACTGTGTAGAAACATTCGGGGGTTCTGGTGTGAAAATATCTACAGCTTTATGTTAGCTCCTTTAATTTGAATTTTTAACACTGTTAAAATGTAGAGGCGATAGTCTATCGCCTTATTTCAAATCACCAGTAATAGAGAAACTTTTTAACTTGGCATGTTTCTATACTTGACCTTGAGAATTCTTCATACATTTTTGGTTAAATTAATAATCTTACTTGGCCCCAATATTTTTTATGGTCATCCTTACGATACTGTCATAAACTTGTCGAAAATCTTTAAACAACCGATTAAAAGTTTTACTAAATTCCCAATTCTTGTCCAGCAGTTATCTAATAGTAAAAATCTGAACTTCATAATCTGATCTTCCCGGCCAAAAACCTCACTGACAGACCCCAAGGTTCTGTTTCATATATGGAGATATTCTATCTCCCAATATATTTGATAGTATCTTGTAGGTTATATCTAGCAGCATCATATCTTTATAATTCTTGCACTCTGTCACTCTTTCTCACCATTTTTATGAATGGGGATGGTTAAATCTTCATTCCATTCATTCGGCATTTTTTCAGGTCCATATCGTTTCCACCAAACATTATGGAGCTGCTCTTCACCATAATTTATGAGTTTTGCGTGATGTTGTTACTCAAAGTGATTTTGCTGCTTTTTAGCTAGTGGATTGCTTGGAAACTTGGAAAGCGGCTATAATGTATTATCGCCAAATATTTTTAATGTATATTCCAGTCTTGGGTTGCACACCAGAAGAAATAAAAATTGATGGAGAAACAAATGTCAGATATTTTGATGATACAGCCATTCTTACAGAAATTTTAGAAGACCTTCAACAATTACATATACATTATTACATATCAATTATTTGCCCAGTTGTTGCATATGGAAGTAAAACATGGACTCTACATCAGCAACAGCAAGAAATAAATAAGCTGCTGGTATTTGAAAAGAAGGTTCTCAAAATGATATTTGGCCCTTAAAGAGATAAATTGACAGGAGAGTGAAGACGGTGCCGCAATGCTGAACTGGTGACTCACTAAGATCAGAGAAAGACATAGTGTCAAAGATAGTGTTTTTGCGAGACCAGATGGCAGAAGATCAGTAGGTCGTCCAAGAAAAATATGGATGGATAATGTTGAAGCTGATTTATCTAGAATTGGGGTACAATAATGGGAAATGGAAGCCTAAGATCGTAGAAGATCGAGGGCTATTATGAACGCGACGAAGATTTACCCAAGTTGTAAAGACAGTCAAGGAAGAAAGAAAGAAAGACATGTTTTTTCATAATTGTGCAACTACTTCCGTCTGGTATTTCTGTTTGTGCGTTTCGCTATTATTAAACACATCTGTATTACATCTTTTTCCTTCCGTTTGTTGAAACCTATCCTTTATGGTCTGACTCTACAAATGTTCCTTTTTGGCATCTTATTTCTAGTTTATTCATTGAATATCTTTCGTTTGCTAATACATGGTCCAGCTGATTTCTTGTTTTTTCATCGTTCTCGTTTTCGTTCTCAACAAGTACAACATTTTCACAAACTATGAACAGCTCATTACATTTCTTAACTCTCGGTGGTACCTACCCATAGAAAGCGCGTCCACAGGTGGCGAAGGAAGGAATTTCCGGCCTGATTTACCGGTGGGTAGTAAATAAAATATCTCTGGTGGACCAATAGGTACTTCTCAATCCACCTGGCTAGCGTGACAAATTAAGGCTAAAACACTCCTTATAAAATGTTGAATATCCGAAACGAATTACCCCAAATCGTACAACTGAGTGGTTCATAGTTACATTCAACATACGCATACTAAGTTCGGAAGAACAGCTACTAGAAGCCACAGAAGAAATTAAGAAAATAAAGTGGACAGTGATAGGACAGGCAGAAGTATGACGAATAGTAGAGCAATGGATCGAACTAAAAAGCGGCCACCAACTTTTCTACAAACGAGACGAAATTCAAGCGGTAGGCGACGTGGACTTATTTATTAATAAAAAAGTAATATCCAAGATAATACAGTATATCGGAAAATTATATCAATGGACATCCAAATTAACTAGCGTTATACATGTAAAATTATTCAAATCTTTGCCCCGACATCAGATCACGAAGATGGGGAATTCAAGTAATTCTACAAAGAAATTGTCAAATCTTTAAAGAACTAAAAAGACATATATAACAAGTGACTCAGAGATGTAAGCCAAATGATTGATATATTGAAATACAACGGGGCAGGATACATAGGAAAAATGGAAGACAACCGTTGGATGAACCGAATTCTTCGAAGTTCGTTTCGGTTCGTAAATGCCCCTTTGTCCGCTTCTCGTCGATCGATGATGATAGGGTTAATAAATGTTGAAGTTGTCGAGTAAAAGTGATGATTTATTGACAGCAACTCGTAATTACACAATATGGTGTTCGTTCGGTAACTACTCAATATTGACTGTGTTCATTTGAACTCAAATCCCCCAATTTATAATCTCACACATAATAGATACATAAGTACCTTAGGTCATTGCTTCGTTCATATGACACCACCTAACTTTTGCTTATAATACAATTTAATCTACGCCTTAATTGCGACACTTAGGAAGTTCAATTAGAAAATATTATTTTTCGGCAATTTATTTAGTTGTAGGTAAATGAACTAATTATTAAATTATCATACGATATGGTTTTGCAATATATATAATGCAAACTTATACACGGTGAAACTATAAAAGATTAAGAAGTTAAGAATAATGTGAGATTACAAATTAAGGGGTTAATTTGTGATTGAACACATTAATTAAACAACGGTTTTGCATTATCATATCATCCTTGACTTTCATATACAGACTTGCAAATTTTCAGAAACTTTACCGGATGATTTAGTGGTTTTTTTATAAATTAATTATGAAATACTTATGTGGCCATGAAGCCTAATGAACCGTAAAACTACTTCTATTGTAAGGCGTCATCATATTTTTTTGTCCACTTCATTATATTTTTTGCGAATCTTTGATTCATGGTGTGGATCTTTTCTCGTATTTAGCAATTTAAATAAATGTCTGTTCCTCTGCCATTTATATAGAAATTTATGTTAATTAATTTCTAAATATTCATAAATAGTAGCTGCACGAGTATATTTAAAAAGTTGTTTTTTATTCGGATTTGATTCATGAAATAACACACTAACCGAGAAAAATTTCTGAACTACGTTAAAAGAAATATTAATTCGTTCTAGCACTAATACCAGTTTTTCTTGAAATTAGGGTGTTGTTAGAAGGAAAATTTATTTCAGCTAGACTACATACGGCAGTTTCATGCTGTTCCCGTTCTTCATTAATCGCACGAGCTCGTTGATTTTCATCTTCATCACTATCCGTGCATTTTCTACAGTTAGATAGATATATAGATATAATTTATTCATCCACAAAGTTTACACAATTCTTACAAAAAAAAATGTATATTGGACTAGTCAAAATTTTAGTACAAAAGAGTATAATATATAGCAAAAGTACACATGATTAAAATAAAACAGTGATTACAATAAAATAAATAAGAAATAAAAGTTACAAATACAAGTTATAAATACAAATTTAGAACTATTGTTGCAGAAATGTTAAAAATTTAAAAATCCATCAACACTGTAGAATGTGTTGTCCATTAAAAATGAATACACAGTTTGGCGAAAACCTTTATGGGAAGAATTACTGAGAGTTAATATATTGTCTATTTTATTGTAACATTTTATTCCAATATATTCAGGTGCATGTTGGGATACATCTAATCTAGAGAAAGGTTGTCGAAAATTTGATTTACCCCTAGTATCATGTGAGTGAATGTCCTCATTTCTGTCAAACTTGAGCTTGTTTTCCTCAATGTGCAATATTAATTGGAAAATTAAGAGGTTAGGTAGTGTTAAAATATTAGACTTCTTAAATAGTGGCTTACAACTATCTGAAAATGGAACACCATACATACTTCTTGAAACTTTCTTTTGAGCTATAAATGCCCGTTCAAAATGAGATGAGCAACCCCAAAATATTAAGCCATACTGAAGTACAGACTGGACTAAACTAAAGTAAATCATTCGCAATATATCAAATGAGACAGTTTCTCTTAAATTACGCATTATATAGCTACATGTACTTAACTTTGCTGATACCTGATTTACGTGAGTTTCCCATGTAAGTTTATGATCTAGGGTGATCCCCAAAAATTTCGTTGTAGTATAACTTTCTACTAATTTGCCATCCACATGTAAATAAAACGTTACGTATGAGCTTGAGTCCATTATTTTTACAATATGTGCTAAATTCAGCAGACACAATATTGGTATTTTCCACCAGTTGTATGGGTTCACTGTGAGACATGAGAATATTGGTATCAGCACACTAAACAATTTTATCTGGCATTCAACACAACGTGTTTAGGTCACTTACAAATATAATGAAAAATAAAGGCCCAAGTATTGAGCCTTGAGGTACACCCATCGTACATTGAAGTGGCCTCGACGTTACATTTTCCACAGTGACTACTTGAGTTCTATTACTTAGATAAGATAGGGCCCAATTTTACGGTATACCAAGTACTTCAATACCCTGAAATTTTTGTAATAAGAGTTCACGATCCTTCGTATCAAATGCACGACTAAGGTCATAAAAAAGACCCAACACATTTAATTTATCATTTAATGCTTTATAAATAAATTGAAGAGAGTCAGAAATAGCAGTATTTGTAGATTTCTTTTTTCTAAACCCGTTTTCAATAACAGGAAGAATTTTAAAATGTTCTAATTAAATTAAATGATCTTTAATCTATTTGCATAGGCTGCTTCAAATATTTTAGAGAACTGACTTGACACACAAATCAGCCTATAGTTTGCAATATCCGTTGCAGATCTTTTTGATATAGGGATTCCTTTCGATTCCTTTATATCTGGAAATATTCCGCATGTAAATGATTCATTTATGAGATAAGATAGTGGTAAAGCTATATAAGTGGCAATATGTTTCAAATCTTTTTCATCAATTTCGTCTATCCCTGCAGCTGTTTTGAAAGCAGTTTTTAATACAATAGATATAACTTCTTTTTCAGTGGTTGGTGATAAAAAGAAACTTGAATTGAATTGGTCTATTTGTGTGATACGGGTAACAACTGATGGTTCATTATTTTTTACAGCATTAATAAAATAATTGTTGACATGATCAGCTTTATGATAATTTTGTAAGTCAGCGTTGTTACTAAAAGATATTAAATTTTGATTTGATTGACAATTTTTTACTTCTATTTTTATTAATTATTTTCTAACATTCCTTTATTATATTATTGCTATTTCTAAATTGATTATCATATTGTTGATTTTTATGTTTTTTAACAATTTTTTGATATTCTTGTTTAAATTTCTTGTATCGTTCCGAATACTCTGGGTTATTTAGTTGTTTTCTTAATCCATTCATTTGACACAATTGATCATGCAAACCCTTAATATGAGATGCAAACTACGTTTTTTGTTTTGGTCTGGTAGTTACTCTACGTTTTAAGAAAGTAGTATTATAATAATATAAGAAAATAAATGTTTATGTTTTTAATACTTTTTTTTACCTTTATTTTACTGTAAGAGAAGTGAAATTGTTAATTAATGTAATAATATGAATAAACGTATATTATTATTATATGTATATCTAATTTCTAAACCAATAGGAAAATAAAAAGGATTCTTACCTAACACAGCAGGTACAAAGCAAAGGCAGTTTGTCAGCATGGCTCCTTTCACTACGTCTATCTCTGGCAGTATGTGAAAAACTAATATCGCTATGCCTATGGTATGAGCAGTCTCCATTAAGAAAATAATAAGGAAATGCGCAAAATGCGGTTTCTTCGATGATTTAAAAAAACACATTCTGGTGGATCGGAACAGGGTCCCGAGCTGTGGGATGCAGAAGGCAAAGAAAAGACACCACATCCATACCACTCGTTCGGGAGTCGGTAATTTTACTACAAATTGTTTTTCCCTACCTAAAAAGAAAATCATAAGTTAGAATATTTAAGTATTCTTCAGCTTTTATAGCATTGGTCCCTAAATTCCTTAGATGACTTGTAATACAAGGGGGGTTGTAGGAGGAAGTCGAAAGGTGGGAATGGTAAACTTTCTTGTATATTTCTTGGGGTCCCAAAATTAATATTATTAGCAAAATTCAACTTGATAGTATGATTTTTAGAGGTTAATAAATATAACATAAGCAATTCCAAATATTTTCTTTCCAAAGATCTTATTTTTTTTATTAATTTGTATACTAAATTATTTAGATTATGAAAGTATTGCGAAATATTCAAAAATTTGAGAGTGGGCTGAATAGATACTAATAAACAAATGTTTGAACAATACTCACCTAAGTCTTTATTACAATATTCAACTACTTTATCTACCCTAAGTTGTGATGTCATAAATAGAAGAGTCCCTATCGCTGTCACCCCTGATCCTAAAACTATGATGAACGTTATTAAATATGCTACGACTTTCAGTATTTTCACAGATATTTCTAGACATTTTTGGTTGGCCATAGAGCCCGAAATCTCTTTGGTCGGGGGATCCCGGAACACGTCCCATCCTTTCGTTTCTTGGACTGTTCTTGTGCTGAAACAAAAGAAAATAATATTAGGAGACTTTTACAGAATTTTATACGCATTTGATAAGGTTAAACATAATAAACTCGTAGATATATTAAAAAGAAAAGATATTGATAGTCGTGATATGAAAATATTATCTAATTTATATTGGAATCAAATTGCCAAGGTAAAAGTTGATAATCAGAACATCCGAAATATCAAAATACAGAAAGGAGTCCGCCAGGGTTGTGTGCTGTCACCACTACTCTTTAATATCTACAGTGGAGCGGTATTTAAAGTAAAGTACAGTAATAATGACGGATAATAACAATATAAAACGTAATGTAATTCCTTAATGAATACTGTCATTAATATCGACTAAGGATGAATTTGAAGATAACTGAATGCATAATCATGACTAAATCAGCAAATGCAAACAACCAATTAATTGTAGAAGATACTGTAATTGAGAATGTGAATGCCTACAAATACTTATGAAAAAATCCTACAAAAATTTGAAGACCCAGCACCTTTAAGATTCAATTTCATGTAAAAAGTGTCGCAGAGAAGGGACTATATTGGTCACAATTTTAGGTTTCGTACGATAATGTAAGTTATTGGGTACTGATTTATCGCGTTTACTGTTTCTTACAAAAATAAAAATATGTACAATAATCAGTTTACTGTTTTCTCACGTCTTTCTAGGAAGGAACACGTCATTCACACAATGTCGATTTGATGAGACAATACAAGTGTTCGCTGCTAAAAACCGCAACAATTTGGTTCGCGACGAGTCACGATCAAATAGTACGCATACAGTACGCAAGCGGTTTTTTCTGCCGTACACATTAACGCATATAGCGTTCGCATACCGTATGGCTCGTACATATGTACCGAGCTTTACGGTATTCTTGAGTCAAGGGCACTTCTTGAGTTTGACCTGGTGCGGTACATCTGTCAAATAATAACGAAGGTGTCCTAAGGCGAGCTCAACGAGGACAGAAACCTCGCGTAAAGTAAAAGTGCAAAAGCTGGCTTGCTTGATCCTGATGTTCAGTATGTATAGGGACTGCGGAAGCACGACCTATCAATCCTTTTAGCTTGAAGAGTTTTCAGCAAGAGGTGTCAGAAAAGTTACCACAGGGATAACTGACTTGCAGCGGCCACGCGTTCACAGCGATGTCGCTTTTTGATCCTACGATGTCGGCTCTTCCTATCATTGCGAAGCAGAATTCGCCAAGCGTTGGATTGTTCACCCATAGACAGGGAACGTGAGCTGGGTTTAGACCGTCGTGAGAGAGGTTAGTTTTACCCTACTGAGGACTCGTCGTTGAGATAGTAATCCTGTTCAGTATGAGAGGAACTGCAGGTTCGGATATTTGGTTGACGAACTTATTCGAGTGGGTTATGGTGCGAAGCTACTATTAGTGAGATTATGCCTGAACGCTTCTAAGGCCGTATCCTTTCTAGTCAAAGGTGGTAACGATATATCCTTGGAGTTCCGAGAGTCGAAATGCTCAAAACAATGTGACTTTACTAGCCAATCGTAGTTCCCTACGATTGTCGCAGGAGCCCTTTTTTCCGTCGAGATTATCGGTTTACTGTGGGATCGATCCTTGCCAGTAAACCAGATCTTTAGACGGACGAACATAGGTATTCATCTTTTCGATGTTGGAACTCCGAATTGTCTATAGACGACTTACGAAGACATGTATTGACATAGCACGTGGATCATTCGTTAAACTTATATTCGTTAAACAAATATTAACGGCGTAATTGTCAAATTTGACCTCTCTTAATTACGTTTTAATTAAAATAAGTTCCCACACGAATTTGAAGATCCAGCACCTTCAGCACCTAGGGTTCAATTTCGTGTAAAAAGTGTCTCAGAGGAGGGACTCTATTGGTCACAATTTTAGATCTGGTACGATCTTGACGTAAGGAGTCAGTGAAAACCAAGAGCAGCGACTGAGTAGTGAGGACATTTTTTAAAATTATTTTCAGAACGTTTTCAATCCTATTCGATCATCATCAGTGAAAAGCCTACAAAAAAGTAATAATAGTAATAAGAGTTTTGTAGAAATGACCGAAAGAATGGGGGTTCTAATAGAATTCAAAAGAGTGTTGGTGGTTGCCTATGTGTACGTGTCTGGTGACTGTGTAACTACAGTCTATATGTAGGGAAAACCGGTATCGTTCCAAAAAGAGAAAAAGGTATATGAATATTGTGGGAATGCAATTATTTAATATTTTTCACTCGATCATGTGTTCCGCTCCAAAAATACACACCGGAGATCGAAAATCAGGGTCTACAAAACTATTATCAGACCAATAGTATGTTATGCATGCGAGACATGGGTGATGACAGAAGAGACAAAAAGAAAACCGGAAGTCTTCGAAAGAAAAGTCCTAAGGAAGATATTATTACCTATTAACGAAAACGGAATATGGAGATCCAGGTACAACCATGAACTCTACCAACTGTTCAAAGAGACACCGATCTCAGAATTCGTTAAACTTTAGAGACTGGGCTGGTCATGTAGTAAGAATGGAGTCAAAAATATTGCCGAAAAGAGCCCTAGATAGTAAAATGCAGGGCGCAAGACGGCGCGGGACCGGCAGGATTTGGGCTGTAGCGCAATTGGAGAGAGAGAGAGAGAGAGCAATTATTTAAAGTGTTGTCCTGAAGTGAAATTCAACGAGCAGCTAGTTATGACAAATGCATATAGGAATTAAGACACACTGTCAGTATAGAATAGTTTTGAATACGGGTAGAAGTTACTATGTTTAAATGCAAAAGTGTGAAATTAATGTGATGTAATTACAAAAAGATGTAATATCTTAAAAAGAGGTGGAACATATGCACCAGCACCAAGAATGTTGATTAATTATTAGTTTAGACAATTTGGATTAAATTTTATTCCTTTTGTTCCTTTGTCCCCTTTTTGTCCCCTTTTGTTCTTATTTTTAAGTGATAATACTTATTTCTATGTTTTTCACTAATGATGATCCGATAGGATTGAAAACGTTATGAAAATTTATTTACCCATTTTGGATAAGTTTTTACTTAGATGTAAAAGTTTTTTATTTCTCCATCTCTTGCAAGTGTGGCTGCAGTAATCATCAGGCATAATTTTCGTATAATTAATTTCTTAATACTGTAATGAGACATATTTTAAGATTTTCTGAGTAATAAATTTTATTTATGTCAGCAGTATATTTAATAGATCCGTTATTTGCTTAAGATTCTTGTGCAACAATTCTATAACACTGATTCACATTTACCCTCACATTTCATCTCTTTTACCTTACCTGAGGTATTACAAAATACTTATTGCAATACACCGACTTCACAGAATCGATGACTGTATCAACTAAAGGTACAATAATCGCAGCCATGACTCAAACATAATAATCAGATCAGATCGAAATAACAATGTAAAGACATAACTCACGTGACGAAAACTTTGAAAGGCCGCTCTTAGTTGCATCGATATGTCAAACGGCCAAAGCGTTTGATTAATAATGGTCTTTCTGGAATCTAACAGCAATCTAGAATGTTTGGGCGATTGTGTAATAGGTTTCAGATAGTTTAATATACAGGATGTAATTATTTAGGTCAGTTTTGAAAAATTAATTCATAGTTATCCTACTGTCAATTATAATAAAAATATTTGACAAATTCGAAGAATATTTGGAAATTGAAGTACAAACTTATGAAGAAGAATATAAAACAATTTATTACCATATATATCAGCATTTTATTAGGTTATTACAGCCTCCTAACAACTTTGTTTGGTTACACAGTTTCGCAGAATTTTTTAAAATATTCTTTTTTGAAAATTATTTATGTGAATTTATGTGAATATAAATTGAATATCTACATTTTAAATAATAACAGAAGCAGATTTATGTAAAAAAATGAACAGTAGGACAACAAATCAGAGAACTTGTTGGATCTATCCAACATATGAACAGAACAGCAGTTGGAGGATAAACAGAATAATGTTGTGTTGCGCAGTACTTCTTCATTGGTGACTTTGTCTGTCCATGGTATCTTTAGGATCCTTGTATATAACCATAGCTCAAAAGCCTGAAGTTTTGATACAGTTTCCGCCTTTAATGTCCACGTTTCTACTTCATACAGCAGCACTGAGTACACGTATAATTTAAAGAGCCTTATTTTTGTTTCTAGACTGAGGTCACGGCTCTTGAACAGAGAGCTCATAGTCAAAAATGCACTTTTTGTCTTTCCCATTCGACATTAAACCTTTGGGGTATTGTCCCACTACTCATTGATTATAGTTCCCAAGTAGTTGTACTCTAAGACACATTCAATTCTTACTTGATTCACATACAGATTTGCTCCAGTTATGTTTTACTTGCTAATGATCATTAGCTTGGTTTTGCTGCTGTTTAAATCCAGTCCATATGTTCTACTTGTTTCCGTTATTTTGGTCATTAAGTTTTGCAGTCCTTCTATGGTATTGGAAAACACTATTGGATTATCTGCATACCGCAGGTGATTGAGCTTGACTCTCCCTGTCCTCTTCAGTACTTCCATAAATTGTTCATGCCTGACTCTATCGAAAACTGTCTTGTAGTCAATCAGGCATGCAAAAACATTACAACTGACATCTCTACGTTTCTGCAACAATACCTGCACGCTAAATAAAGCTTCCCTCGTACCAACGGCGTTCACAAATCCAAGCTGATTGGACACAATATATTTCTCGCATTTCCGGTAAATTCTTTTGTGGATGACTTTTAAAAACAGCTTAAGCAGATGGCTCATTAGGTCCTATAGTCTTCACAAACTTTTGCTCCTGGTTTTTTGGGCAATGCTACGAACTCAGATTTGAGTCACTTTACTGGTATTTTTCCTGCTTTGTATCCCCCTTCTGCATCTAATAGCTTCAGCAGTTCTGCAGGAATATCATCAAATCCCGGTGTGTTTTCTTCCTGAATTTTCTTTAATGGTAGGCTCTTGTATTGTTCTAAGGTCATGGAAAAGTTTCTTCAAGTATT